AGCAACACGACAATCTTCTATCCAGCGCACTTGGCAATCGATTATTTATGCAGTTGATAATACAGCGGTGTGAGAGGAATAATAGAAGGAAGAGGTGAATTAGGGAGAAGAACGGCATGAAGTATGGCGGATACGAGTCGTCAAGGTGTACGGGGTATAATAGGGACAACGGTGGATTCTCGACGTGGAGAACAGCGTGCACTTGCAGCGCGTGGTGCTACTGGAGCTCTTGTACTTGGAATACTTGCTGTTGTACTTCAGGCCGCTGCTACTGCAACACCCGCATGGGGCTACTTTACCAATCCTGACGGTAAGTTATCACTATCACTCATCCTCTATTTTATATCCTCTCTTGTAGATTAGGTTTTCCATCCTTTCTCAGTCGATACAATTAATTTATTTATTATGACCTGATGAGCTGGAAATGGTCATTTTTTTATCATGTCCATACTCATGTTTATGTATGTAGGTGTGTGACGCATCGTATTTTCGTGATGCCTTAAAAAGTGAAAGTTCAAATCCATCGTTTTGTGTCCATTGTGGATTAAAATATTCATTTCGTTGTTATCTTCACCAAGTTCGGACTGTGGCATGATAGTCAGGACTAACTCGGAATTTAGTCAGAGTTTAATCAATGTTTAACTCAAGGTCAGTCTAGGCTTAATGAACCTTGTGCAAAATATAACTTATTTTCAATCAAGGTCAAGTCAGAGTTAAATACACAATATATTCATAAAAAAAACTGAAAAAATTCCATTGAGCATATGTGGACACAATTTGATGTTTTATGTTCACACACATTCATGTATATATATATATATATATCGTATGTGTTGTGCAAATAAGTCGTACAGGTATTTTAAGTATTTGACTCATTACTGTTCATGTGAATCCCCTGCTACGAAATTGCATTAAAGTGCAAGAAAGTGTCCATACGACCTTTTTGCTCAGCGTACGCAATTTGCATTCAAACAGCATTATGCAAAAATGGCGCAGATGTGGGCTTTTTAAGCCATGTTTAGTTAATCGTACTGATAAAGTTGAAAAGTTCCATTTAAAGGAATACACAGATTCGACAGAAAAATTTGACAGACAAAGGAAAAAGGAAAGAAGAAAGCATTGGGCAAGGGGGAGGTGCGAGTGAAGATCGACGCGTAACGCGGCACACGGGTTTGACCCACATTCGCTGCTGTGGCCTCTTTTTCTTCTTTCACTCACTAATTCCCCACCCTTTTCCATTCTTTCCGTAGTCCTTATTCAACCAATTCGTCTCCTCTCCCTAAACCATTATTTGTTTTGCCGTGGAAAAGACAACTCGCTAATTTCATTTCGCCTCCTCTATACCATGAAATATCTCTTGAAAAGTGCTAATATCAAATAAACTGAAAGATCCTTCGAATAATTGATGTTTATTTTATTTTCACGTGTCATTTTACGACACCGATTGTAATTTTTATACTCTCCCTTAAGTAATTTGATATATAATTTTTATTTCTCTTTGAAAAAAGCGTGTCATGGGGGGAATCTTTCTTGCATTGCTGATCGTATCAGAAGGTTTCTTGAAAAAAGGAACAATCGGAGAGGAGATACGGTGCTACTCGTACTTACAAGGATGGAATACAACATCCTCACAAACAATTGGTGTCATTGAGAAATGTAACAATTGGAGAGCGATAACAATTTGTGATTATTCAACTTTTGTATCGTAAGCAGAGAGAAATTCTCGTTGCAATGAGACAGCCGAACAAAAACCTCGAAAGCAGAACAGGTGTATCAGACAGGTGTATGTATGTCTGTATCTGTCTATGACGTAAATACAAAGATATCCTCAAAAATTTGTGACGTGGATGTTCTATTCAAGTTTGTAAAATTTCACTTGCACCAATCAAATTCAGCCGGTTCGACCGGTTTTCTCTAATCAATGTTCCGAAATCTAAACATTTTTTACTTCCACTCCGTTTCTCAATATGTATTGGAAAGCAATGTAGAGAAAAATTATCAGGAGAATGATTTTACGTAACTGAATCCATTCGGTCCTCTCCGCTTGTTAATGTTTGTAAAATGATGCGTTTAAATATTTAAAAAATTGAGTTTTCCTTGGCTGTGGGTAGAGCAGGTGCTCATCGTCTACTGTTACGCATCCACGGTTAACGGGGCTTCCTATATACAGCAGGAGAATAGATTGCTTACCAAGTACATATAAGAATAAGTAGAAGGCGACACGAAAAAAAAACTCAACAGAGGTGTATAGAACGTAAGGAGGTAACTTAAACGTGAGATGTCTCATTTCCGGTAAAATAGCGGACAGAGTAAATTCTCCCATATGATACATCTCCTATAGCTTCCATTATGATAGAGGAAAAAAAGGATTTAATGGGAGGTGTAGAATTTATAATTGAGGATTCCACTTCTGATTCAATTTGCCATGTGGAATGCTGTCATCGCATGTGTAGATATATATGTAGATGTAAACATGTAGAGGTTGGGCAATTCTGTGGATTCCTACACGGACAGAAATTCTTTGGAAACATTCATAAACGATTCAGGCAGAATTACTCACAACTTTTAGGGGAATATTACATTATAATAATAGAGGAAAAATCCATGTGTTAACTAATGCTTACAAAAAACGCTAAGAATTCTTCACACATAGTTAATTTTATACACATCTTTCGGTACAATCATTCTACGCAGGAAGTCGGAATATTTATGCATAGAATATGCATATTTCATACAAGCAATCCGTTTTGCCCCGTATCTTGTTTTTTTTTCTATTTTAGCGATTATTATGCAAACATGTTACTCTACAGCGGTGATGCTGTTTTTTTTGTTAACAAGTAATTGAAAAAGGGGACATAATGGGAAAATTTAAAATAGACTTTTAGCTTATGTTCAATTGCCTCGAGAGAAAAAACTGCAAACGTAAATTGGTGAGGCTCCAAAGAAAGGAATGACAATGGGGACACATGTATGACCGTGAAATACCAAGTGTAGGAGACGGGATACTGTTAAAATATTCACTAATGGCCGTCACATACATTGCAACTCTTCGTGGAGCAGCTCGAGTGTTTGTTTCGTGTAAGTCACAAGATTATGCACACGTGAGGTGCATATTCAGGGCTGTAATTTTCGGATGTATTGCATTTTCGGAGTGCCAATTGTCTTGCGTCAGTTCGCCTTATTCGGATTTCCTCTCCGCGCCGTTGGCATTATAATTCAATTATTCATCCGTGTTAAATTGAAAGTGATTGAATTTATTAGAAGAGCTGATGATTCATTACGACCATCTACATCTACTTTGGATTATAAGTCGACTAAACTTTGTGTGCATTGACTGTCTTTTTATGGCGTAGAAAAATTATCAGTTCCATGAACGATTGTTGTGATGATAGAATTTGCTTTGGAAATTTCTTATCTATTTCTTTAGTCGACCATATGTTTCACGAAGAATACTTTGAGTTTTTTTAGATAATAATTGTGCAACCTAAACGGCGTAAGTGCCAGAATTCCGGGATTTTTCGCCGCATGAAAACATTTCTTGTGCGTATTTTAGACGCATGTAATTGAGCAGACGAAAAATTTCATGAGAGCTAGAAGTGAATTATGGCAGGGCCTCATAATTAATTCATTAAAAAATATTGCTGTAGGTGTGTACGTCTCATATTTTTTTAGCCGTCCCGCCGTTGTCGTAATTAGAGTGGCTCCCATATAACGGCCGCTGTTACGTTTCAACTTCCATATCTCACTCTATAATTGCCCTAGTTACTTCTCATTCGTTATTACGTCTCAAGAGATTCTCGTACGCGCTCATCTTCACAAGTCTTCATCACCCAATACTTTTTTTAACCTGCATTAAAAAAATAGTACTAGGTCTAGTCAATTGTCGATATAATTTCAGTCGAATGACTCAAACTGCATGAATTCTGATTTTCAGAGAAGTCCCAAAGTACTTTTTCCTCAATTCTCTCAATCTACACGGAGAGAAAAATACCGGAAAAATTACGGAACTTTCACGTATTCGTGAGGTGACCTTGCGTTTCGGGAAAAAGTACTGTAGGTGCCGTAAAATTGTCCGGAAAGTTTTGTAAAAATTCCTCACTACGAAAATTTTTACGTAACTTACAGTATTTTTCCCCGAAAACCAAGGTCACCCCACGAATACGTGAAAGTTCCGTAATTTTTCCGGTATTTTTCTTTCTTTCTATAGGAACGAATGCGTCAAATCCTCAATTAAAAATCCTTAATTCCGTTTGTGTAACGGTTTTATTTTGCTAAGGTATTATATAATACAATAATTTTCTCCAAAAAAATTAAATATCACTTTATAATATATAGATAATAATAAATAAATAATAAAAATATATATTGGATATTAAAATTAAAATTTTTAATGACTTGATCAATTGATCTAAAAATAATTGCATGCTTCTGTTTCTTTTACCACACTAGTGGCATTACTAATGAAAATATCACTAGATTTTTATGGTGACATTTAGCGATGTAAAAAAATATGAAGTATGGCTTTCCCTCCTCGAGTCTAATGCAATGTCAGTTCGTCTTCACGTAAATTCTAAGATAAATACAATGCGTGCAATCTACCTCCTGATTGCAACGTCTCGTACATGCAAAATACCTCACTACCACATTCACTGTATATTTGTATCAACATGCATAC